GGGTACAGGCCAGAGGCATGGGAAGTGAGAGGATTCACTAGGGTAGGCACAGAACAGACCAAGTGAGATACACTGCTGAGGAGAGCAGTGGGCTGTGTGCCATGTGGGTCACCTCCCTGGCCAGGGATCAAACTCATGCCGAAAGGGGCTGCTGATAGCTTCACAGTGCTGTGTTTTAACCCGTTGCACCACCAAGGAGAACCCAGAAGCAGTATTTTAGAGAGTAGTCCTTGCTTTGCTGTACTAAATCATTGACAGGTACACTGGCGTCTGAAACAAAGAACTATGAGCTGCAATCAGCCTATGTTCTTGACTTTGTTCACTACTTATTAACTACAGTGAACTGTTATTTAAATTCTACAGTCTTGGTTTCCTTATCCGTAAAACTGTATCAAATGTATTTGCCGTCTTACACTTGAGTATTTTGGAGATATATTTAGAAGAATATTTTCTTTAACCACAGGAAAATTACACATTCTGAATATTGTTAGATTATAAGAGATTCACAGATAGGAGAGAGTATGGGTAGAGAAAAGGTAACTAGTAGTAAGAGAGAGAAGTGAGAGGCTAGAAAGTGTGTTCTTTGGGTTGTAGCTTCCGGCATTGTTGTTGCTGTTCCCCTCTCTACCTGTCTTTTGTTTCTCATGTCTTTAGCTACCCATGCCCTCTGCCTGCTAGTTTTATCCCACTCCACACCCTGGGCTAATCTTGTTCCAGCCAAGTTCCCATTGTCAATGAATTTGAAAAATGAGCCAATGGGCCTGAAGACTGTCAGTAGTGGACAATCCTTTGTCCAGTGTGATTGTCAGTTTGCTACCAACTATGCTTAGGAAGAACAGAAATACAGTATTTCCATACACATGGGTCATCTGGTCCTAAGTATGGTTCTCCTCTCCTAATCTTACTCCAATTTTTTCCCAACTCCCATGTTGGTTCAGTTTTTTAAGTCACTATTCCTTAGTTCTGTTTAAAGCCCAAGAATTGGCTGTTTAAAGCCCAAGAGTTGAAGTGAATGGGGTCTAATGACTGCCTTGACAGGAAGTTGAGGTGGTCAGGGTAACTATGATTAATTTACTTTCAAACATATCAATATAGACTTTCCATGGAAGATTTCTAGTTCATAACATTAAATGACAGGTCAAAGAAATAAGGTCATAGATTTCTTATGCAGAGCAGAAAGGAAGAAGTCAAGATAATGAGGACTCTGTCCTAGGAATTATTCAGCTAGGAAATATGGAGACTATCCTGTAAAAATGTGCAAAGGCCATTCTCTATGGAGGCCCATTTCAGAGAATTTCTAGATGTCTGGTAGAGGGATGCTCAGAGGCACTGACTTTTCTCATCAACACTATTTATTTGTAACCACTTTTTAGATCAAAGGAGAAGTAGATACTGATTATGGCAGGACGAGGTAATGAAAGCTTTCAAGGGGACAATAAAATCTCTTGAAGAAGTAAAAGTTTGGATAAATCAAGAATACAAGGGCCTGAGATCCAGAAACTGTGTTTTCTCACATAAATTAGTTTTTTTTTTTTAATAATTTGTATATGTGCTACTTGCAGATTAAAAAAAAAACTTTAAGACTATTATAGTGTGATAGCCTTATATTGAATATAATATTGGTATCCAAAAATCATAAGATAAAAATGGGGAAAAGCTTTCATTTACAACAGGTCAAAGAATAAGTCTAAACATTTATAAAATATATAACTAGAATGTACTAAGTGTATTTGAAGATAAATTTTAAATGCAAATATAGGTCAACAATGAAGATATAAACATATAGAAAGGTATATTTTGGTCTTGGGTAGGAAAACAATATTTTAAAAAGGCATTCTCTTTTTATTAATGTCTAGTATCACAATAAACCCAACAAAATACAAAGGAAATTTGAGGGATGGGTAGTGACTAAAATAACTAATTCTAAGTTTGAATGAGAATTAAACATGCAAAGAGATGCAGGAAAATCCTGGAAAAAAATTGAGGCCTGCCAAAACAATAGGGGCCAGATACAAATAGAATTTTAATATGCATTTAGGTGGCATTGTAGATCCGTAATATAATGATTGATCTTTCAGTTAATAACTGTGGGATAATTCTATGACCATATCGAAACATACATGTGCTAGATTTCTAACTACTCCTTATATCAAAATAATTCTGGATGAATAAAATACTTTACAATAATTATTAAAATCACTATAAAAAGATATATAAAATATTGGAAAATATTTTTATGATATGTAATACATATCATATAAAAAGATAATTTCCCATAATTTCCCACTATTTATAAATAGTTCTTATAAATCAGTAAGAAAACACCACCAAACAGAAAAATGGATATAGTCCAATTTTAAACATGAGAACATTTTTAACCATACTTATAATGAACATTGAAGCTATAAGCTATTTTTCATCCATTTGATGAGCAACATAAGAAAGTTTGATAACTCATAGGGAATCCATGAGGAAGTAAACATTTGGATATTGATGTGGAATCGTATACTAACAAAATTTTTATGGAGTATTACAAGACAGTATCTATTAATAACGAAATGCATATGCCCTCTCACCTAGCAAATCCTGAGATTTGTTTAGCAGATATAACTGCAAATGTGTGAAATAAACACATTTTACAAGTAAATTTAAAAGGATGGGGAAAATCTAAATGTCCATCAGTAGAGGAATAGTTACATATATTTTAGTGTGTGCATAGAATGCAGTAAGTAGCAGTAATTTCAGATGAGGGTGTTTCACATACTGGTCCTGGCATGGAGAGATCTTGAAGTATATTAAGTGGGAAAAGCAGCAGCATCTTCTGGGTACTATTACATCAATATATACACCTATTCCAATGATTTATATATTTTATGTTCTTTGTTTTTCGATGAACTCACAAGTAAATGATAAAAGTGTACCTCTCGAGAAGAGTAAGTAGTAAAAACAAGAAGGGGGTGAAGAATTTTCTTCATATTCCATTTCATATGTTTTGAATTTTGTACTATGTGCATATACATAAAATTAAAATTACACAATTCCACAAATATTAAATGCTTTATTGTAATTATCCAATGTTGCAGACATTTCTAAACAAAATATTTATCAAAGAAAATGTAAATACAAAATTCTTACATATGTATAATATGTATTCATGTTATGCTTAGAAGATTAGTTTTTACTATAAATCAGTAATAACATTACATAAACTTATCAGAAAACTTTTTTTTGTTGTCATGTTTTCTGCTTTACTGAATACTGGCTACAATAAAGAAATGGCATAAAGCCTTTCTTTTTCAAACTTTGAGAGGTGATTTTCTAGTTCTCTGTATGTTAATTTTGAAAACCACTGTTTTCCAATTTTTACAGTCTTGAGTGAAAATAAAATGTAAGCCTAAATAACATAGTAGCTCACATGGGAATCAGAAAACTAGAAGTGGTGTCTGAGAAAACAAGAAGAATTAGGTAACAGGACTGGAAACTATATAAGTTGTGTATCAGTCTCCATTTCTGAAGTATACAATTTTCTGAGTGTTAAATAGGAAGAACTTTATAATAGCAAATACAAGGGGATATTCTTTTTTTCCAAATATCTTCCTTTTACTTATTATCATTTAAATAAAGACTGTCTTATCTCACTTTTACTTTTGAGAAGTACTTTTTTTTTTTCCTAAAGGGAAACTATGTTCTATACCTCTCTTCATTTTACTTAAAGTGATCTGGAGAAGAAAATTATCTTCTTGAAGCAAAGATTCTAAATAACTGTCAATCTGCTCCAGATTTCCTTCTGGAACACCCTGGAAAAGAGAAGCAACAATTGTACCAGGAGAAGAAGCTATAGGGCTCATTCTTGCAATCTGGGTCGCTTCCTAATCGTCTTCCCTAGCATTCATGCAGCCACACAAGGTACCCTGTATTTGAATAATGCTTTTAACCTTTCAAAATATTTTTGCATCTAATCTCATCCTATGCTCAAAGTGGTTAGCATCTTAGATCATTTTTCCTCTTTAGGAGGGCTAGTTCAACTGTTTTATCCCCCTCTATTTAACTACTTGTCAGGATATTCCTAAAGTGCCTCCCCATCTCATCCTTTTTTGTAATAAACTCTCATCTTCCTTTTTTTTTAATGCATGAATCTTCTCTCTTACAGAAAAAAACAAGATGAGTAGGCAAATTTAGACTTTTCTCTTTCTCCTGTTTGCACTACTTTTCCACCACTCTGGTTTTCCATCTTGATCTTTCACCTTTTCTTTCCTTCCCCAGGATCTCTTTTGATGTAGAATCTCTGTTCTTGGACTTCTTGATCCAAAGAGCAACTGGACAAATACTTCTTCTTTACTAGTAAAACTCTCACACTTTCAGGTACAACTATGGGATCAACTAGTTCTGCAACTGAGTTGACAGACAACAGAATTTTAATTATGGTTCTGGCACCACCATCCTAGTTTCTCAATCCTAACCCAATTATATCAAATGTACTTTTGCTTTGCTCCCTTTGTCCTGGATTTTCTGTCTTCCAACAGCTGTAATTGTAAATAGTCCCAGCTTTGTGACAAGGACCCTGTTCCTTCAGACAGATTTCTACAATACTGATATTTATGTAGATTTCCAAAATACTCACTAACCTTGAAGAATGCCCTAATACTGGCCACTCGTAGCCTACTGAGCATAGTCTAATCCTTTGGTTACTGTTCTTCGCCTGGCCGACTGGACCTCATGCGAGCACTACAAGTTGTTTCAGCTCAGTCTCTTCTCATGCCTTTCCCACTGCATCTGCTTTGGTTCCACCTCATCTCACATTTCTGCTCAATTCACTGCAGTCACTCTACAGTCAGTGACAGTTGAAATGGAAAACTCAAGTGGGGGATGAACAGTAAATATATGCTGGCAGGAGCCCTTGAATACCACTTCAACGTCACTAGGTGCAGAATCTCCTAATCTATAGGGTAAAGCCCTTCTCCTCCTCATTGAACTCTGTGACTAAAGCAAGTCAAATGAGTATAATTGCCCTGGCTGCTGTGGAGATACCCAGGGGGACTGGCACAGAACAGTAAATTATTATATCTCTTTTTGTGCTTTTCCTAGTGATAATTGCTATTAGGAAAACCAATGGAGTTATTTTTAAGATATATTTTTAACAATCTTATTCAAAAGACTCAAAACTGAATAACACCCAAATGTCCATTCATAAAGGCTAATGCAGTTGGTACATTCATACAATGGAGTACAGCAGGACAATGAAATGTAACACAATACAGTATATACAATCACAAGAATAAATCTTGCAGGCATAACGTGGAGTGAAATGAGCCATCACAAAAGATACAGTTTACAAAATTTAATTATTGAACTAATAAAGTAATGAATAGCATTAGACATAAAGATAATGAACTCTAAGTTGGTAACCATAAGGACATAAAGGCTTCTGCGTTGGGGGTAGCCACATATTTTGATCTAGATTTATGAACTTTTGATAGGGGTATCTGATTTCCAATATATAGAATTTCTTTGGCCTTTCCAGTGCTCCTTGTTAGTGAAACAACAATCATTGCTGAAACTCTACTACATGACAGGTTTCATCCATTTTATTTTGAGACATTAAAATATTTGCCACCCTTTACAGTCACAAGAACCAAATAGAGAACTCAAATCCCACTTGTACTGCAATAAACTCAAGGGGTTGTTCAGTATTATTAATAGAAACATAGTTACCATCATGTGAGAACAGCATAACTGTTCCCTTTAATTTTAAAATTCAACATTTTAGTTGTCGCCTAAGCCACTCAAGTGGGGAGGGATCCTCACTTCGGTTATATACTTAAGCAAAATTTCTTGGTGTGGGGAAAAAGTCAGCCTATACATGTGTTGATCAGAAATGTCAGAAGTGTTCTATGTGAAAGTAAAGGAAGGAAAATGAGGGAAAAAAATGAAGGTTTTCAACCTACATTGCTACAGGGTGATTCCTGACCTCTTCTACCTCTCCTCTGAAATTGAAAGTCTCTTTCTTTTTATTATGCATGAGAATAAAGATAAACATATTCTGTTGCCTGAAAACATTTCCATTAGTACTTCTCTGTCATATTTCAGTGCTAATATTGCATGATAAAGTAATCTTAGCTGGCAGTTTTTATAGAATGGTAAATATGTCACTCTACTCTCTTTACATCTTGAGTAAATCTGCTCAGAAACCTGATGACAATCTAATTGAGGTGCCTTTCTATATTACATTCTTTTCCCCTAGCAGCCTTTAATGTATTTTCATTATTGTTGACTTTGATAATGTAATAATGCTGTGTCTTAGTGAAGGTTGTTTTGCATTTAGAAATCTGGGTGCGTCTTCAGCTTCTTAGGTTAGGAAGGGCTCAGCATTGTATCTTTAAATAGGTTCTCTGCTCCCTTCTCTCTTTATCTTCCAAGTATCCATCATTCTTATGCTTCCTCTTTTCACGAAGTCTGATACCCTCTTCCTAAATCGTATTTTTCTTTCTCCTTCCATCTGGGTTGTTTGTATCTTCAATTCCAAAATTCTCTGACAGTTTAAGTCTATTTAATAAGCTTTAGATAATTGTCTTCCCTTCATTCAATGTCTTTTTGGATGTGCATGTTTTTTTTTAAGTCTTTGATCTCTTTAGCAAAGAGTTCTTTTTGTTCTTGGACCTCTTTTCTGTGATCCTGCACCTGCCTTGCTGGGTTTATTTGCAGTCGCAGGCCTTCTGTGCCTGTTGGGTATTCCGAGTCTGCATACTTTCTCCAGGTCTCTGGACTTCCATTCTTCTCTTTTAGTTTTTCCATCTTGTGTTCTGATGTCTCTGTCTCCTCAGTGCACATATTGTTTTGGTTTCAAATTGGGGTGCTGTGCCTTTCCTTTTGTTTGTATTATTAACTTGGTGGCATGTGAGGGTGGGCAGGAGGGTCTGCTGGAGTCCAGCGACTTGGTAGCAGCCAGATGGGGGCAGCTATTCTAGTCAGAGTGACCTGAGCTCTGCTTCCCTTGACCTTCTCCCTGTCCTGCCCCAACAATGAGTCAGACATCTCAGGTTTCACCCTTTTTATTATGACACATTAAAATATTTGTCACGCATAAGAAATACATGTTTTGGCTCCCTGTTGCTGGCAATGAACTGGTGAAATTTTCTGAGAGCAAACTTTAGTTTTTCCATAGCTGTATTTCAGTGAGATGTTTATCAGAAGCTCCCTAGTCTGGAAACATTACCGAAAAGACTGAGGGCAATCACACTGTTCTGCCAGCACAGCAAGGATTCTGATTTTGCTAAGAAAAAAATAACAGACCTTTCTTTTATAAAGAGATCATTTAAAAACGTAACATTTACTTTCAAAGTCCATATATATATGATTTCAATAATTTTACATAAAGAGCAAGGACAAGCCAGTTTAAGTCACTTGAACATGGTCAGTAAGTGGTTGACAATGTCAGAAGAGGAAACAGGTTGAGATCACTCTAAAAAGTATATTACCGATAGGCAAATAAAAGTTCACTACTTACCAGCTCAAGTTTCTGCAATAATAATGAGAGTTTAACACGAAGATTATTCAGTTTCTCTTCAGTAGCTTTTCTTTTTTCTTCACATTGACTCAGAGATACTTTATCAATCAATGTTTTTCTATTTGCATCACAGATAATAGACTGCATTTTTCTCTTCAGTTTTGTTTCATACTGGACCATGCAAACATTCTGGATCTGGAAATGTTTTTAGTAAGTTTTAGATATAGTCTAAATATTGCTTTCCCTATTATCTTCCCTCCCGACACCAGAAAATAATGTCATATTCTAATTCTGCACACAGGTAACAGTAACCCTATACTTATGTATGATTGTTGATCTAAATTTAAGGCATGTTGATACTCTTAAGTAACTTAAAGTCTGAGGAAGAGTACTCAACAGTCCAGTAGCTATAATATGAAGGTAAGAAAGGTACAAGGAAAGCTTGAATACCCTTGCTCTGGGAATGAAGAAGGAACACAGTAATGCTTGACTGTGTTCTCCCCCAGTGATGCCAGACTACTGAAGGCACACGGGGCCCAGGAGCCTATGACCTTCTCTCTACCTATAACTATAGTCAATGGCATTGTGGCTGATTAACCAAAACTTTCTTGGAAGGTGATGTCATGTTATTTATAACTCAGACCTGTAGCGTCTCGAAAGCACAGAAGCTAAAGTTGGAGGAATTCTTACTCTGTCACTCTCTTCAGGCTCCTAACCCTGCTGCAGAGTAGTATGATTATATGCTTATACATATGATCGCTGCTAGTTCTAGAGACTTGATTGTTTACTAATTCTAGAGACTTGCTCATGTTGCACCTAAGGTAATCACAGAGCAGAAGAGGTAATGGAGAGGCCAAATACTTTAATTTTAGAAAGACATCAAATGCTTTTATCTATAGTTCAAGAGGGACAGGGAATATTCTGACAAAAGAGATACATGGCAAATTCTGTTCTGATCAACATTTGAATATTTTTGGACTAAGGAGATTTCTGCATTCTAAATGACTGGGTTGCTAGGAAAATTGTACATTGTGCCATTTGGATTCATCTCCCCCATGTCCCTTCCTCCCCTCTACCACAATCACTAATACCTAGGGGCCCTTCACAGGCATTGCTCACATAAGCACTCACTACTGAGTTCATGCATTTCTACTTTCTATAAGACCCTTGAAACAAAACCACCCCCCCCACCCCCAAAAGTCCTAATACCTTAAGTGCTGTTTAGTAGAGATTCATTAACTACTTCCTAAATTCAAGATATTGAATTCAATTAGAGGGATAAAAAGATAGTTAAGGCTTAGATTTTTCCCTTAAAGCAGCTTCTAGTCTACAGAATGAGATAATACACTTGTATAAATATTGTATTTTATGGTATAGAGTGCAAGTAAGAAACAGAAATTATTATGCTTGAGAGGAAGGTGTGAATTCTCCATTAAACTAAACAGTTTCAAACTCTTGTCTTGGATTTAAGTCAGTAACTTACCTAGCAATTACTTATACATTTGATGTGCTAGTAATTGATGAGTATTTGGGAACAGGACCCAAATATCACACCATAGGGTGATCCCCCCTCCACACACACACACTGCTGTCTACAAAAGAGAATGATTGTGAAGTTTGTAGGTTACTAAATAAATATTTATTTTTAAAGTCTTAAGTTGCCTAGAAGCCCAAGTAAGGCACCAGCAATTAGCCTACAAAATTGTTGGCTGGTTCAGCTTTATCTTTCTTAATTTCCTGAGTTCTAGCCTTTACACTTCAGGTGTATACAACAGATTCATTCCTGCCTCAAGCCCTTCACCCTTATTGCTTTCTCTCATCAATAAATTCAATCGCAGGTCTAGATAAATCCACTTCTTGCCTGGGTTCTGTGTTCAAACAGGGCTCAATTATTCCTTGCTTACTATCTCTGAAGTAGTCTCCCTAACACAGTTTATGGCAGCTTCATGATATACTATTTATGTATTTAGTTACCTATGATTATGTTATATTACATATGTTTTATTTATGTGTTATCTCTCCCTCAACATGCAATCTCATTGCAAGAAAAAAAAAAAAGTAAGGTCTGTTCACTCTGTATTTCCAATGCCTGGTGCAGATAGCACTAAGAAGCAGGGAATTAAGAGAACAGATGTGCAGGTTTCACAACAAGGGAATTTCAGACACATGGGCCAATCCAGACCTAATATCCAGGTTACATTCTGAGAGCTTGGAGGTAATTCACTTCTGAGAGCTTGGAGGTAATTCACTTTTGAACATCTCTCTAATTCAACCCACAAGAATCTGTTGCCTTACAACTAAGGCTACGTACTCCAGGAAGCTTTATAGGTGCTTCCCATGGAGCCTCAGTGAAACCCAGGGTGTGAGTCTCCCATGGTCGGAAATGGAGTAGCTTAAATAAGTGTACACATCTGGAGTAAGGACAGGATCACAAACAGCTCAGGTGTCAGCAGAGTTCTCAGTGTCAGAGAACATTAAAATTCTACCACTTTGCCATCCTGAACAACAGCCAGAAAACCTTTAAAAAAAAAAAAAAAGAAAAGAAAAGGCAGCCCCAAATAAAACAAATCAACACAATATGAAATATAAAATATTCAAAGCAACACAACTTGGAAAAACAACAGTTGGGCACCTGAGCAGTAACAAGGGACATACCTGGTAATACCTGAATGGAGCAAAGGGTTTTCTGTAGACAGAGTAATTCTGGTCATAAGGTGACATGTACTACATGATTCTACTACCTTAATGTTCTTGGGTGATACAATGACAGAGATGGAGAACAGGTTAGTGGTTTCTGGGGTTTAGAATGTTTGTGTTTAGTTACCTATGATTATGTTATATTACATATGTTTTATTTATGCGTTATCTCTCCCTCAACATGCAATCTCATTGTAAAAAAAAAAAAAAAAGTAAGGTCTGTTCACTCTGGATTTCCAATGCCTGGTGCAGATAGCACTAAGAAGAAGGGAATTAAGAGAACAGATGTGCAGGTTTCACAACAAGGGAATTTTAGACACATGGGCCAATCCAGATCTGATATCCAGGTTATATTCTGAGAGCTTAGAGGTAATTCACTTCTGAGAGCTTGGAAGTAATTCACTTTTGAACATCTCTCTAATTCAAGGGAGACCTCTGTGGTAGTGGGAATTCTGTTATGTGATTTTGGTGGTGGTTATACAAATTTAATAGATAACAAAAAGAGATGTAAGTTCTATCCATTTTCATTTCATAGATACATAACCATGTAAGACATAAGCACTGAGGAAAACTGGGTGTAGGAGATATAAGACCTTGGTATTATTTTATAAATTTTTGTGATTCTATAATTATCTCAAAATAAGAAATCCAAAAGAGAACATTAATAAACCTTGAAGTTAAAAATGACTGCACAGCACACTACATACAAAATCATACTCAGTCTCTCCAAGTTCACTATTTTGCAACCAGCAAACTATACTTTTTTCAAACACTATCAGTTTCCTGACTTATTTTCTTTTCTCAGGCTAATACCTTCAGGAAGTTTCTATAAAAGGGAGCAATTTTGACAACTTTTAAAGCTCAATGTAAAAGGACTTCAAATTGTATTAACATTTTAATTAATGTGAGTAGAGAATTGTAACAAGATGAGAGGCTTAGTTCTGCTGGTTAAACCTACTCTTGTAGACGTTATTTGTGGCAGATCAAAAATGGTATTCTTCCCAAACTCCATTAATTCAGAACAAAATTAGAATTTGAAAGAAAGGATATTCAACTGAGATTTTAATTTTCTGCCTTGAATTTTAAAGTTGTAGTTCTAGCAGAATCCTAACAAGTTTGCAAAGTGAGGCAGGCCTATGAGGTCTAGAGAAGTTGTACCCTGCTGACAGAGTCACGCAGGTGAATGCTTCCGTGGGGGCACTCTAGCAAAAACTGTCACCTCTGGTTCAATGCACAAACAGATGATTCAGATGCATTACAAGACACTGATGCTGCTTAGATACAGTGATGAGAGGATTATTAACTTCTAGGGTTCAATAACATAATTGAGAGGAAAATAAAACACCACAGTACACAGAAAATAAGAGTTTTAAGAATCTCTCAGAACACAGAAAGGTGAAGGCTAATTTCACACGGAGAGGCTGAAAAATTTGATGGAGAAGAGAGCACCGGCCAGGCTTGGCTTCTGGTGGGTGGGATTTCAGGGGGCCGACTGTGGGTAAAGAGAGTGATTAAGTGTTCTGAGGGAAGCTTAGAATTCTGAGGAAGAGCTCAGAGGACGAACATTTTAAGTAGGTCAGTACAACTCCATTTTGGATGGTGTGGATGGCTGGTGAGAGGAAAGAATAAAAGATGGTTAGCTCAGGTCTCGTTGAATGTGACTCCAGTGCGCCACAACTCACCTTCTACTCTATCAGTGGTTATGCGAACTATGTGGTTGGACAGGGAGGAGCGGGGAGAAGGTCTGTGATGTATCAAGGGCCCTTCTGGGCTTTGATGAGATTCTCTCAATTAAAAGTATATAGCTCAAATAAAGTTTATACATTTGTCCTTCACATGGATTTCAAGGATAGCTCTGATAACCACTCACCTAACGTTACCAGTCACAGATAAAACCCTTAAGACTGAGCAGGTGTATTGTCGGGGATGTGATTATTCCAATTGTGCTGTGCCTGCCCTGTAGCTGTTTTAGTGGCAACACAGGGTGTCTGAACTATTTCTAACTCCTTTGATTTTCTGAATTCTACCTGGACCTTATGTGGATTCCACTCCTTTCTATGCTAACATTCCTCACTCTGCAAAGACATTTTGCTCAGTCTGGCCTCTAAGACTCAACAACGTGGTTCTGTTATTGATAGTGTCACATTGAAAAAAAAAAAAAAAGCACTTATACATGAAAGGATATATATATAAGCATGGATAAAAGGAGATGGAAGACTCTCTAACTGCTTAGTAAATTTCTATGTTTTACAGTGCAAGCATTTAACTAGGGTACCCTCATCATCAGATGAAAATTTGTAGGAAGATCCAAGAGCCTGACTAAATTCTTCAAGCTGGATGCCACAGAATTCCAGTTGAGATTTTTCTTGGTGGGTCACTTAGTAAGCTGCCTACCATATCACACCCCATAGTTCATCGTCAGCATCTCCACATATATATCTGAGGTCATATATGGATCAGTGAGGTCTTAGGTCCTCACTGACATCTTTGCTGTATTTGCTCAATCTTGTATATTAGCTCCACTACTGGAACATACTCTAGCATCTTATCTGTGTTTATACTTAAGGTCATCTTTGGGAAAGCTATTATCATGACACATCCCCCTACAAGACTAGGAAGTGAATAGCACCCCCTGGAGTTGCGCAAAAGTATATCACTGCCTCATTATGTGATATATATGAATCATCACGTACTGTCAAGGCCTGTAGTAAAAGCAATTCCTTTATACCGACAAGCTGAGCACCTGTATCGTAGCTGTACTGCAAGCAGCTAGTGGAAACTATCACAGGAATGAAGTTCTACATTCTGGGTTAACAATTAGAAGGAAGAAAGTAGTACAGTGAAAAGAGCTTCGAACAAATCTGAGTCCAATCTTGACTCTGCTACTCTTTTGCATCATGACTCTGCTACTCTTTTGCATCATGACATGGGAACATTTTCTTTCTGAACCCCCATTTCCTCATTACTAAGCTGGGTAATGCCACCAACCCGCACAATGGTTACAACAGTTAAGGTGATGTACGTGAAAGGACTACCCAGATGCCTGACTCTAACAGCTCTCAATCAAACAGTTTTACATTAACTAATGAAAATAAAATTTATGCTAAAATAGGGTCAAGGAATGTGGGAAGTAAACATTACCTTTTACTCTAGTTAGGAAATGTTGACAAGTCTTCAAATGTAAAATGTTCAGTTACTGCTTTTTCAACAAAACATTATTCAGAAAATAGAGATTCCAAGTGAACAGTGATGGGGAACTAAGAACCACAACACGTGTTCACCCCATCTGGCACCTGTGTTCACCCCCACAGGTGAGGGCCAGTCAGAAACATCACAGGCAAATGTACGGCCACAGTGTTAAATTCAGGTACAACCTGAAACTGGAATCCTACAAGCTAGAGCTTTTGTAAAAAGAAATCTGGTCAGGTTCTAGTTTTCATCTTAAATTTGCCTAGTCATGTGTCTTTCTGGAATTTACAATTCTACTTTACTTATAAAACAAGAATATTTAAATGTACTTTATTACCTCCAAAAGAGATGAGGCAGTGACTCTTAGTTGTACTTTTGCACAGCTCCAGGGGATTCCATTCACCTCCTAGTTTTTGTCGAGGGGTCTGTCGTGATGATAGCTTTCCCAAAGATGGCTGTGAGCATAAACACTGATCCAGGTGCCATGAAAGTTCTAGATGGCTGTAGCCTCTGAGATGAGTTTGGGAACCTCATGGCCCTCTTGGCTCCCAAACAAAGCCTATGTCAGCTCGGAAGTGTCAGTCTCGCTTCCCTGAGTGTGAAATAAGGGAGCTGCAAGCTTTTCATTTTTTGTGGTATTTTTCTAGTAGAGCTAAAAGACTCTATGGACATTTCCCCCCAGGAAGTCTTTGAGAACTAGATACACAGCATTATTTGAAGACTATAAAAAAACAACTCTATCTAGAGTGGAAGACAGCTGTAATGAACAATGCCAAGCTATTGAAAGTAGTGATCTTGGAATAGTTTGGGGCTACAGACACAATTCTTTTTACTTCTGCTTACTAATAATCATTATTTTTATAACTATTTGTATTATGAAAAAAATCAAAAAGTTAAAAACCTGTTATTAAATTTTAAGAGGCAGAATGCTATCTAATGGTCCAAAATAATTAAAAATCTTAAGCTAAAAATTGTTTCAGTTTAAAAATCCAGTGTCTCCTTTGCAGGGGAGGGAGTAGAAGACGGATCAAAACAAAGCAGGGAATATGTTCTTACACAAGGGGCTGTGGTGACAGTCTACAGGTGAATTGGTGGTGGGAAGTATGAGGGGTTACACCTGAGAGGAGAAAGAATGCAATGTACAGAAAGGAAGAATGAGGTAAAACATATACAAAATTTAAAAAATAAAAATCCAGTGTCTCAAGAATCAGTGAATCTATTTCTTAAAGACTCAGACTGTCAGGTTTCCTATTCAAAACGTAGTCCTATTCCAAGTGTTTCATAGGTTTTATTACTGTGGAAACATTTGCATTTTAAAATTCAAAAAGATGTTGCTTTGTGACATCTGATATGCTACACATTAATCTAAGTCTTGAAAAGTGAATGCAAATTTGATTTCCTTCCAAACCTAACATTTGGAAATTTATATTATTTCTCCTTTGGAATACAGGATCATTTAGAATATAAATGACTAAACTGAAAGGAAGCTTACCTGGTTGAAACACATTTTCAGCCTTTTGTTTGTCTGCTCTGGGTATTGTTCCAGCTGTTTTTTATAAATGATAAAGGAACAGGATATTAACTTTTAGAAAATGAGCTGTCTACAACAGAGTTATAACATGCAAGTATCTGGCATAAAAACACATCAAAGCCTAGAAATGGCCAACAGTGATAATCTTAGTCTTTTAAGCCTGGCTCTAATTAAATTAATTAAGTAATGTAAAACTTGTCTTATTCCAGAAAAGATTAAGACATCTTAATAATCAATAGAGTCTTAAAAAATATGTAAATGAAAAACATCACAGAAAAAGAAAAATAAATGATAAATAAGGAATTTTCAAAAGGCTGTTAAGAAGGTCAGTTGGAGTCTGAATTCTTGTATGGTACTCCGGAGGAATAGGCTGTGGAGTCTGGCATTTGCGGTAGTATTAAAAGTCAGATACTAGAAGAGGTCACTTAGGAACAGCTTTTCATAGGACTGAGTCCGCAGACATGCCAACATTTAAAAACCAAAGAGAGAAGACATTACTAGTACAAAGGATGAGGGGAAGAAAGCAAAGGATGGGAAAATGTGTTGTCATGGAAACCATGCAATCAATTGCTACAGGCAAGAGAGAGTGGTCAGGAGGCTGACAGTCGCCAAGTGCTGATGAGTGACCACTGCATTTGTCAGCACCGTGGTTTCTGGTGGCCCAACAAGACAGTCCCAGAAAGCCGTGGGGTTGGAAGCCCAATGAGACAGGATTAGGTGAGAAGCAGAAATTGTGAAAACAATGTAGATGAAAAAATGAAGGATTTCACCCAGGATGAGATTATAGCATTCGATAAAGCTTCCATTTGCTATCTGGGGTTTTCGCACTGATAGCCTTTCTGTAGGTAGCACTAAGCATGAAGGTGCAGGAGGAGCCCTCTCCTGCTCCTGTCTGCTCCTGTACCCCCCAGGATCTGCTTTTCCAGGCTGGCAGTAGCTCTGGGGATCTCAGGTCTGCAGACCTCAGGCAGGTGCGCTACAGCCTGCAGTGACTTAGCCACTTGGGGACTCCCATTGTTGGCTGTGTTCCTGGTAGCTGATCAGTTTTCTTTCCTTCTGATCATACATGGCCCTGTCCCTGAGAAGCAATTTGATAAATACAGTTTTCTTCTTTCCAGTGATGTCTTTTAGAGATTCTAATAAGACAAGCACCCTGGGCACCTAACATGGTGCCAATCCTTACCTTAGCTGATAAAGTGTGGCTAAGGCGCAGAAACTATTTTTGGTGCAGGGAAGGGAAATGAAGGGCTATGTTCCACTTCTCTAGATCTCTGTTACTGAATCTTCTGTCTGTAAATACCCCAAAGTTTAGGGCCCTCCCTGGTGGCGCAGCGGGTTGGAGCACAGCACTGAGGATCTGAAGCCACTTCCGCATGAGTTCGATTCCCGCCTGCCGCCTGCCCCGGAGGAGACCACATGGCGAGCCAGACCTCTCCTGGCCCGCCCGCTGCTCCGCTCAGCAGTGTACTTCGTCAATCTGCCTGTTCTGCTCCCCACTCTGTCTCTGGTGAAGCCTCTCACCGTCCCTGAGCCTCTGGCCTGTACCCCAGTTCTGTATGAATAAATAAATAAATCTTTAAAAAAAAAAAAAATCCCCCAAAGTTTACATAAGCCTTTGGCTGCACTGTTTTAAGTGCATCTTTACTTCTGAGCCACTCATTTGGTATAATGACCCCTATCTTCAATTACTTAACCCTCTGGGGGCCTTCTCATTGCTTATACTACATTTTTCTGCACTGACAATTAAAATCAAGTTATTTTCTCATTCTCCCCGAATTCCAAAAAACTCAGCTTACCTCAAGACTTGCTATAAGTTTCTCCACAGTTGTGTAGCCAAATTCTGGTGGTAGTTCGCACTCATGAAAGAAGTACAGAAGAAGCTCCCTGGAAATATAAGCACAGCAGAGCTGGTAACACACTGGGGAAAGAGATGCCACACTCACTTGTCAAAACTAGCCCTGTCTCATAGGAGTAAATATTTTGGAAAACATGTATGTTAATATCTGAAAAATAATATATCTTTACTATTGGCATCAAAGGGTTTCTCAAAACATAGACTAGGGGTAGGGTGGTGGCAACAGAGAGACAACAGAAGGAATCCTCATGGTGACAGAATTTGTATGACTTGACTGCGTCGATGCCAACATCCTAATCACGATACTGTTCTACACGCTTGTAAGACACTTCCATTGGGAGAAACTAGGTAAAAGGAGCTCTCTCTCTTTCTTACAATGGCATGTGACTCTCTCTTCAAACTTATTTCCGCTAGTTTGAGAATTTAAGATAACACAAATGTTTGTGCTTTTACAGAGATAAAATAAATGAAGTCAAATTAATTCATCTCTACGTGCCTCAATTTTCTCATCTATAAATGGAGAAAATAAAAATATCTACTGATAAGGTTGTCATAAGTTTTAAGAGAGTTAAAATATGTAAAGTCCTTCTAAGGGTATCTGTACCACCTAATTAAAGCATAATACAAATATTATTATCACTACTTATATTGTTACTGGACATGATTGAAATCTGATACCACTCCAACAGTTAGGGCAGCTGATGAAACTGATGAGTCTGGGTCTCAGGTTAGCTTATTTACCTCTAATGTAAAATAATGTAATAGCCTCCTATTATTTGAGAGTAATTTAAAACTCAGCAATACTATTCACTGCTTTTGTACACTAATCCTTTTCAATTTAAAGTATTCTTTAAAGATCTACTAACATATATATCAGACAGAAATCCAATACATTTTCATAAAAGTTACCATATTTAGGGATTAAATTTACTAACATACATAAAACAAAAAAGTCATATAAATCAGATGATGAAAACAATGAATGTTTAATGAACAATGAATGAATTAATTTTTATTAATTTCTTAACATGAACTAAGCAGATTTTTCTCTGGCAGTTTGGGAGAGGATAAGGATGATGTGATGTCCGAAGTGCATCAAGGAGAGAGATTCCAGTACTCTAAAGGTCTCGAGCTGCTCTGTCAAGTGACTAGCAAGGCAAATCTGGCAAAATATAGAGGACAGGGCCTCCCCTCTGACAGAGCTACCCACACACTGTGCCTTGAGGAATTCAAATCTAGTTAATACAAGGAATAATACATGGGCTAGACAGAGAATGGTGCAGCAAACGGAAAAACTACAGCAAAGAAGATAAGAAACCTGTTTATACAGATGATATGTGAGAAAATATATTACATGCTGCTAAAGGCATTAAAAAAAAAACTGGGTAAATGAGGTGTGTCTTTTGCTCCAGGTACAGCCGTGTGCTCTGCATGATCCTGTTTCCACTGAATATCTTTCAACAAAAAAAGTCGTCACACAAATATTAAAGCTGTACAGATAAGAGCTGATTTATCAATACATTTGGCTTTCAGAGTGCTCAGTTGATAATAGTATGATGATTTCAAGCACTGAAGATTTTACAATATTTTTAAGGAGATGGTTTCTGGGAAATTTTAATTTTCAACTGATGTCAAATTATAAAAGTGGATGAGCTTTAAAGTCTTAGTACATTCAATCAGATTGTCCCCTTTTTGAGCATATATGACTCATTAAAATTAAAAACAGTAATACACTTAAGATGCAGAACAAAAATTAGCCAAGGGAAAAAAAAATAATGTTTTGTAGTTACTCGCTCCCTATTCACACACACATTTAAATAATGGTTCACAGTGCTGCGTCCAAATTCTGCAACACACCCAGGCAGCTCTCTGCAGGTGTCACAATATGGAGAGGGGGAACGTGTACATAAGTATACATATGCGGAGCTAGTGTATTTATACTTTCATATCCTTATCTCTATATTATTTTTATCTGCACATAGTATACATTTTTAAAGTATATTTATTACATAATACTTCATTTTTTTAAATCAAAATCATCAGGAAACTATAGATCAGAGATATTCTGTAGGGGAGGAGGAAGGAAAAGGACCAGGGCAGGGTGGGAAGAACACAAGGGACTATGGTGATGATGCAGGGCAAACTGGTGGTGGGAATTTCAATGTATAAACATGAAGGATGAGGCAAGCAAATATTCTTATCCTATATTTAATGACAGCTAACAGGGTAAGATTTAAGGAACTCAGACTTAAACCAACCACTATCCCACTATCCCAGCAGCTGTGTAACTAAAACTAAGCTTCTGCTTCCTTATCCTACTAAAACGAAAAAGTAAAAATGATACTAATAACCTCGTGTTGTGAATAGGGCACTAATAACTACAAAGCATTCAGTGAATGTCTAAAAATCAACAATGGTTCAAAAATGATAGCTATTACAATCAAGAGGGACTGTTTTACTTGAAACAAAATCCCAATCACAGGACAAGTGGTCATTGTATAATATTAGTGATATTCACATATTCGTTTAGGTTTATATAGATACATGCCTGTATGTCTCACTGTAGGCTACCAAATCTTCATGATGAATTGCCATAAATGAATTTTAAAACTAGTAATACAAACCAGGAATCAAATTTATAGCTACACAACTTGAATGCTGAGTAAGTAATAAGGCAAGAAACTCATGGGTGAATCCTTTCCTTAAGGGATTATCCCATGTAGCAGGAGCCTGATATCCATCCAGTTCGTTGCGCAAGTGACTGAAGAGCACTGAAACCTAGCCTGCTTCTGTTCCATCCCAGGTGAGGGCAAGTTTTCCAACCCATGCTCTATAGCAGATTTGGTGGTTAGAACTTAGAGTTCAGAAAAGCAGTACTGTGGCTTCATTTCTCGGGCAACAACTTGTGTCTGGATTTCACATATCATTAGTGAAATGTGTACTGTTGCAAACACCATGGGAACACATCTACACAGAACCAAGAGTGTTTCCTCCTTTCTCCTGGGGCAGGATGAGTAGCTGAATGTTGTTCTGAAAAGACAGTAGGTGAAGCCCATGTGAGCTCAGTTTCACAGCCCTGGTAGTTGGCACAGAACATTCTATTAAGCCCAACGCAGCTGCAGAGTTGAGTCCACAACTTGGAGGACTTAGCAGTCTCCTTTACACACAAAACACACGTGGGCCCTCTCATTTATCCCATTTCACTTTTTTCTGTTGCAACCTGCTTCTACTCTTTACCAACTCTCCCCTTCAAGAAGGTTTTATCAATGTCAGAAAGTCAAAGTAACTCTCCAAAGGGAAAGTACTATTCCAGTTAGGACAAGTATGTTTTTGTTGGTCTGGAAACTTTTAAAGAGGCCCCTCATAGTCTGTGAACCCCCAGCAAATCAATCATCTGCACTAACTAGTGGTGTTCCTGTTCCTGTTCCTATACCCTCTATTGGCTATTTGTAGGCATGCTTCTTGGCTTGATCACATAGCCCCTTCTACCACTGGTCTCTGTTTCAACAAACCAAGTCTTGTGCCTTACCTCCCATCCATTACCCATTGAGGACTAAAATCTAGACATCTAAATTCCTCAATGCCTAGATGTTATCACTGCACACTGAACAAAAAAGTAAAACTTCCTCAACAAGTTCACTAGAACAATGTTTAAAAGACAGTTTAGAGGGCCAAACTAAAGTCATGGTGTTCTTTGTAAGGAAAAAAAAAAAAAAGCAGCATGGCAAACTCAACAGGAATTCTTTATCGCATCTAAGGATGAAAAGTACATCCACCATATTTCTGGACCTGGTAGCTAAGGCAGTTTCTGTCCCTTGAAGTTCTGTTTCAAGGAACATTTAACCTATGGTATACCTAAATCAGTGTAGATAGGATAGCATTCTCATGAATGCTACTGACACCCATTGGGGGGAACTTTCAAGAGTTGTCACTGCTGAGACTGTTCAACAAAGCATATGAAAATGTAACAGTATCTTTACCTTAGGTTAGACATCAGTTTTTTCATGGTTTCCTTGACAGATGTGCTTTGTGAAGATTTTGTCAGTGAAGAAGAAACTTTACAACCACCCCTCACTGAAACTCTGCCTTCGTTTCCAGAACTTGTACTTAAATCTTCTGTCAGCATACTAGGCAAAGACAAACAGAGGCTTATAGTTTCAAAATAGGAATCAACATTAGACAGTAATAAATTCAAGAACATTAGGATGCAACAAATGAAAGGCCATAAATGTAAGCTGAAAAGTTTTCATTTATGTAGTTATATAAAATCAATTCTCCATACCCTTTTTCCTGACAAAATTGTTGCAAGCTTTTGGAGTAGCCAGTTAAATAGAATTGGTGGTGGTTTATTTTTAACAATAGTAGCCTTATACCATTTATCTCTTACTTGCTCTATGAGGCATTTAAACTCAGTTTTGTTTTAGCCTAGGGGGAGGTATATACAGAGGGAGAACATAAAGGGGACCAGGTCAGTGGAAAGACACATTTAGTCAACATCTGAAGGAAGGGAGAAAAAAAAATCTGTGAGGAAAAGGAATGATCCAGGGCTAGACAGGCCTGCTGGAAAACACAAGGGAAGAGTGGGGTGAGAAACTGGGGTTGGGGGAAGTCACGGGGGAGGGAGCTGGACTTTTTCTAAGTAGAGTGGGCCTGATTGGAGGATTTCTGCATGGCCATGTAGTTATTTGCAGTGTATTTTAAAGGGAAAGCTGGCTACAACATGGGCAGCAGCTCCCAGCAAGGATGCACGAAATAGTGTGTAAAGCGATCCAAAGCTCTTAGTCCTTGAGAACAGTAAAGTACAAGGGGGTTGAAGGGTGTGCAGTACAGGAGGTGAAACTGGCACCAGGTCAGCAGGAGTCAGATCGCAAGGATTTATTGCATGGGGAAATTTTTGTAATCTCTTTATGCTACCATCCATAAACTAAAATCACAAGTTTAGTGAGTTTTGTATGTTTATATAGTATGGGCCTTTTAAAAATTGGAAAGGGCCCCCCTGGTGGTACAAGGGGTTAAGTCTCAGCACTATAAAGCTTTCAACAGCCACTGCAGCATGAGTTCGAGTTCTAACCCCAACCAGGGAGGTGACCCACATGATACAGGACCTCTCCTGTCTTGCCCGCTGCTTCCTTGGGCAGTGTATTCACCCTGGCATCTCTGGTCTATACACCAGCTCTTATAAAATAAATCTTTAAACACACAAGAATTAGACAGCAGTTTATATCACATGGAATGAGCTGCTACTCTACACAGTTCTTTGGTATTAATTGTACTATTTCAGGTGATATTATATTTAAGATTAAGATCATTATAAACAGTAGGCCTAACTTTCTAAAAAATATAATGCCCAAACGTCCACTATTTGTAACCTTTTCTTGTTATAATTTTATTATATAAGATCTTCCTTTTTTTTTTTTTCTTTTACCACTTTAAGGATTCTGGAAAATCATGTTTATGTTGGGGGTGGAGGGTAAAATGTACCACATAGAGGATTCCTCTGTTTCTTCTTCTGCCAAATAATGACAGTGCCTACCTCATATAACTGTGCTAAGGGTTAAAAAATATGTACAAAGAATTTAGCTCAATACCTACTATTAATAAGTGCTCAGTAAGTGGTATCTATACTTACTGTTATCTTTATCATTACCATTAACAATGAATTTGACAATTCTCCCATTCAAGTTGTTTTAATTGATTGTAATTCTTTTTTTTTTTAAAGATTTATTTATTTATGCATACAGAACTGGGGTACAGGCCAGAGGCTCAGGGGCGGTGAGAGGCTTCACCAGAGACAGAGCGGGGAACAGAACAGGCAGATCGACAAAGTACACTGCTGAGGGGAGCAGTGGGCGGGTCAGGAGAGGTCTGCCACGCCATGTGGTCACCTCTGGGGCAGGCGGGAATTGAACTCATGCGGAAGCGGCTTTAGATTCTCAGTGCTGTGCTTTAATCCGCTGCGCCACCAGGGAGGGCCCTAATTGATTGTAATTCTAACTTTGGTATTATAGTTATGATTAAAAGATGATTATAAATACCCACATCTAACCTCATAAACACCTAAAAATAATATATGAAATAACACACAACTACATATACTCATATATAGGAACAAATATAACACAAGTGTGCTTCAATTTTTGGATGGTCTTTAAAATTATACATCAAAATTTAATAAATAATTAGGTTAAATTATCATGCATGAAATGGCCTAGCAATAGTACTGGAGAAAAGTCACATCATTTATTCAGTCAATAAACATAAAAGTCCCAACGCTGAATTAGGTGTTATTGTGGACCCTATAGGCACAACAGTGAGCAGGAGAGCCCTTGCCTTGAGGAGTGAGTTAGTGACTAGTGGAAATAAGGAAAATAATCAAGTTAGAATATAAAATGTTACAAGAAATCGATGATTGAAATATAAACCTTAAAAGGGTAATAAATACCTGAAAAAAAAATAAAGCATGATATGATTGATAGCATGCTTTTCAGAAATAGAACAGGCTATTTTAAGATGGGCTGATCAGGGAAGACCTCTCAGAGACTTAGAGTTAGGAAGAAGATATAGCCCTTATTCCTTTTTTTTTTTTAATAAAGATTTATTTACTTATGCATACAGACCTGGGTGCAGGCCAGAGGTACAGGGGCAGTGAAAAGTGAAAAGATTCACCAGAGACAGAGTGGGGAGCAGAACAGGCAGACTGA